ATCCTTTATTTTCAATATCTTGCATCAAACAGGACCTAAGAGTCCATTCTACTGCTTCATCATGATTCATGATGAGCTTAAGAGAGAGACGAGGCTAGAAATGTATATTAACTAAATTGTATATTCACATGCATGCTTTTCCTCTTCCAATGTAAGCTAATGTTTAGTATGACTCAGCAGAGGCAATCCACCTAATTCAAAATGAATACTCCCAGACTCATTCTCTTATTAATGTTATTAAAAGGATTAGGAATCTTATCATGAGAGATTGGATCTTTTCTATTGATCAAATCTTAAAAAGGTCAATAGATATGCAAACTGGCTGGCTTATCAAACAATCATCAGAGTCTTGATATTAGAATCATTAACAATTTCTCATAAGATGTGTAGATTTTTGACTGTCCGATTTGTCTTATTTTAGTTTACTTTTGCATGGCTTAAATTTTGGCCATGTTATTGAAAAAAATTGATAATGTTGTGATTACAAATAATAAGTAGGTTGATAAAACAAAAGAGAAAAAAAGTAAATCATTTTCTTCATTTTGTGTTTTTATTAAAGTGTACACTCAATTTAACATTTTTGGGCATGAGCTAAGTTGAAAAGTTATTTCCAAAAACAATATTTTTATCATTTTGGAGATGCTAAATTAAGATTTTGGAGGTCCCCTGTGCGCTAAGGAACCAACCAAATAGGAACTCATTGTGCATCATGATTGACATTTCCTCGACTCGCAAAGCTTAAAAATTTCCCTCCTTTCGCGAGAAGAACCCTGAAGTGCCCCTCGTGTGTTTCTCTCTCTCTCTCTCGCTCGAGGCTTTCTTTCCTTCCACTCAAAGATGAATGAAAATGGAAGCGAAAGCTCTACCTACCCCGACTCTGATAATCAATCCCTCCTAATCAGTTACCAATTCATTTTCCATCCCTTTCACTGCACAGAAATCGCTAGAAGCCTCTTCATAAAATCACAAATACCCGCCTCCTCCAAATTCGTTCTGGATCAGCATTCAAACCGCCCAGAAAACACAACAAAAGTTCAGAGGAAGATGAATCCCAAGTGGATTCTTCTGTTGAGCATTTCGACGATATTAGCGATTGTTGTGAGCGGCCAATCGGCGGTGAAGCCGCTGGTGAAGATAGTGAAGGGCAAGAAGCTATGTGACAAAGGGTGGGAATGCAAAGGATGGTCTCCTTATTGCTGTAACGAGACGATTTCTGACTACTTTGAGACATACCAGTTCGAGAACCTCTTCTCGAAGCGAAATACGCCGGTGGCTCATGCAGTTGGCTTCTGGGACTATCGTTCTTTCATCACTGCCGCAGCATTGTACCAGCCTCTCGGATTTGGTACCACAGGAGGAAAGATCGGTGGACAGAAAGAGGTTGCAGCTTTTCTTGGTCATGTTGGCAGCAAAACCTCTTGTAAGTTTTCTGTTGCGTTCGTTCAAATATAGGAAGTGCATAACGTCTCCACCTCCACATCATTTCTGCTGCTTCATTGATCACAATGTTTCATGACATTTAAAGTAGGATGTATCACGATATAAGTTGTTCAAATACAATTTGAAGACTTGCAACCATCTGTATTGAGATAGTTTTGATGGACCTGTGATGGCTTCTTTTATTGTTCTCGTTAGATCCACAGCAAAGGAAGTATACAAAACTATATAACAGGTTTGGCTGGATTATTACGTTGTGATATGCAAAACAGACAGCCAATGGTTATGGGTACTTCAACCTTATCAGTTAGTTATATGAAAAGTTCAGAAAATTCAATCATTTGAATAGGTTGATTATGAACTGGTAATCGTTCGATATGGGATGTTTGAGATATATTTAAAAGCTTGGATGGTCAAAGCTTTCGTCCCTGTATCAGAGAAAATTATGATTAAAAAATGATTTCAGGTGGATATGGGGTGGCCACTGGAGGACCCTTTGCCTGGGGATTATGCTACAACAAGGAGTTGAGTCCTGATAAGTACTACTGCGACGACTACTACAAGCTAACCTTTCCCTGCGCTCCTGGTGTGGCATACTATGGCCGTGGTGCTCTGCCAATCTATTGGTACGCTTTTTTCGCAAGTGTTATTGTCTTTATTTAGTTATTTTCATAATTAATTATTTCAGATTAAGTCCTACCAAATTCTGCACCGAGTATTTAATGGGATGATACTGCAAAATGGGAAAATTTTGCATGATGATTCCTTGACGAAAAAATTTGTATGTAAAACTTGGCATTCTTATTGTGGGTTTGGCTCCTAGTTTTGAATGTCCAAACTGACTTTTGCAAAGCCCATCTTCGATAATGTTTGTTTGGATGATTCAAAATTGACTTTCGCAGAAAGAATTATTAACGCAAAACTGGGTTTTTTTGAACAGAAGATAGTTTCAGAAAACTGGGTTTTGCAAGCTGGTAACTGCACACACACTTAAGATGCTTTTGTTGATTTTCCATCAAAGGAACAAGCATGATGTATAATGTACTATGATTTGTGAAAATTGGAAGCCGTTAAAGAAGCATCTTGTAGGGAAAAGTTTGCAGGAGATATGTTCCTTTCTAATTTATTCCTTTTCATACGCATGAGTTATTTATGCTTTAGAGTTGAATTGCTTTTATGCTTTCCTAAATAATAGATCAAAGCATGGGTTATTTGACAAATGATGATGGGAAGTTATAGTATTTTCTTTAATGGAACTTTCACATCAGGAACTACAACTATGGGAAAACTGGGGAAGCCCTGAAGGTAGATCTATTGAACCATCCAGAATACATAGAGCAAAACGCTACCCTGGCCTTCCAGGCTGCAATATGGAAATGGATGACCCCTCCTGACAAGCATATACCTTCAGCCCATGATGTCTTTGTTGGCAACTGGAAACCCACAAAGAATGACACACTCTACAAGCGGGTTCCCGGCTTTGGCACCACCATGAATGTGCTGCATGGAGATCTTGTCTGTGGCGAGGGATCTGATAATGAGTCTATGAACAACATCATGTCTCACTATCTTTATTATCTTGATCTTATGGGTATTGGTCGGGAAGAGGCTGGACCTAACGAGGTTCTCAGCTGTGCTGAGCAAGCTGCGTTTAAGCCATCTCCTACTTCATCATCAGCAACAAATTGAGCTTTTACTTCATAGCGGTTGGCCTGTCTATTCTTGTATCCTCTTTGAATTGGTGGCAAAACTAATAAGCAAGGGCAAGTAGAGAATATTTCAACTACCTTGGCTTTCACATTGAAAGTAAAACTACTCCAAACACAGATTAATCTGTTGTGCCGCGATATATATCCTGGCTTGTATTTTCTTTTTCCCCTGTATAATTTGAATGTTTGATGTAAGGTTTGTATGAACAATTTTGTTGATATGTATGCATATTTGTGAATTGTACTAATCAAAATGGTTTAAGGTTCCTTCCATATGATTTTTCCTCGGGGCTTGAACGTAGAGCTGATATTGAGGTAGGTGGATTGGTGGATATAATATGCTTGGACTGACATAGGATGTGATTGGGATAACGGTAGCAGAAGTAATTTTTTTCAATCTGACTTTTACAGAAATCAAATTGAGAAAAAACAGCTTCTTTGAACTTATTACATAAGTTCGTTTCAGTAGCAGAAGTCAAATACACAAAATATGGATTTAAACATCATTTTTCAACCTACCTGTTACTTCTCTGGTTATGATGCACGTTTGGGCCTCCAAACGTGATCCCAAACACGCCTAAGTCTAAATTTAAATTTAATGTTTGATTAAAGAGGTTCATGGAATCATTTCCTAAGGAAAGAGATAGAGTAGAATGCCATATCGAGTGAAGCCTACCACTTTTTCTATCTCCCTATTGGATGGCTGTACGGCTCCAGGCAATTCTAGCCCCACGTTTGATTGTAGTAGAATAGGGTTTAATTGACAACGATATTTATTAATTAAATTTTAAATTCTTATTTTTTTCATTTCATGCTTGTTTTCCATTGGACTCTCGTCTTTGCTTCTTTTCTCTTTTGACAAGATGAAAAAAAAGGTCAATAGTTTTGACAAATATCTCAGCTAGGCCAAGTACCAAGTTAGGCCTTCAATCCCCTCCCAAAAAAATACTGTCCTTAATATAAGATTTATCTTAGGAGGTTTTATATTAAAGACCAAAGAGTACTAGGTTAGGCTAGAAATTGGGCTGACAATCGCAGCCATTTGAACATTCTATAATTGGGGTACAACTTGTATGTATATTTTGTACAACACATTAGTTTTGTGATTATTATGACTTTACAATTTTAATGTAGTAAATTTATTTACAATCTTTATATATAAAATAACGTTTAATTAATAAGTTCTTATCATTATAACTTACAAAAAAATATAACTTTCAATAATTGCTCTTCTTTTCTGAATGGACTTTCAATTCTTACATTACGTTTATGTATAATATGTTTTGGATAGAGTAAATTATACTTTTCAATTAATAGGACTATTTGTCTTTTAGTTTTTATGAGTTTTTTGCCTTATATTTTGACATAAACCTAAATCTCCTAACAGCCTCGTAACGTGACTTTACTTTTTCTTTTTTTTTAAAAAATAAAATATTTAAAATTAATTCCGCAAACACATTCTTTTTTTTTTTTTTAAATATCGTCAACTTCGTCACTAAAAATATTTGCAGTGCAGAAAAACAAAATTAACTTTAATACTCCCATATGAGATGATCATGATCCACATACGTCAGACACACTGTATCACTCTCTCGTTTCATGAATCCAAATCAGGGAAAGCACCGCTAGCTAATCACAACTGATTAACTGAGTAATAATAACTACGAAACAATTACCCAGAAAAACATGTTTTGTTAGTTTGTTTTGGTTTTAATTAAAGTTCTAACTATAAAACGAAAATAAAAACAAAGTTGCCAAAATGAGTGGCGCAATGAATCGGAGAACTCAGAGACACTCAATCATTCTTTCGCCCGTCTGAGTTATCGTAATCTCATTTTCACCTCTCAACCAAAACTCCAAAACATAAATATTCAAAGTTTGTCTCTTTTTCTAACACAGAAAGAAAGAGAGGTGGAGAGCAGCGACGATGGTGGGTGGCGACATAGACGATTTGCCCAAGAATGCAGCCAACTACACTGCCTTGACGCCCTTGTGGTTTCTGGAAAGAGCAGCTCTGGTACACCCCACCAGAACTTCCGTCGTCCATGGATCCCGCCGCTACACTTGGCTCCACACCTACCAGCGATGCCGTCGATTGGCCTCCGCGCTCTCTGCTCATTCCATTGGTCTCGGCAACACGGTAACTTTTCTTATCCGGTTGTTTGGTTTCTAAGAAAATGGGAAGCAGAAAGAAAATTTCAGTGCTCTGTTTTCTAATGATATTAAAAAGCTTTGACACGGGAGTTTGGTGAGGTCATAGCTACCATTAATTTTTCCAATTAGTTGCTTACTGGTTTTGTTGCCGAAAATTTAATATAATTACTCTGTTTTTAGATGAGATAGGAATGCCAGTGACACTGAGCTGAACAAGCCTCTCTTTCTCTTTTTGTATCCATTTCTGTTAATTTCATTAAGTATTGTTCGGTGCACTATGTGATTAAATTCCTCAGTTCCTCTTCTTGTTTGTTATAAGTTGAGAAGTATATTTTAAAAACAACCCTTGTTTTCTGATTTACTACTGTGGAAGAAGCAAGCATTCAGACTTCAGAGCATTCAATTTGCTTATTAATGTTTCTGATTTTCTAATGGGTTCTCTCTTGACGCAATGACAGATTAAGGGGAATGCATCTAAATGAACTTAACAATTGAGAGAGATAATCCTGATTATTCGCCGAAACATTTATGTATTATGGTTTGTGTTAGGGTGAGTTCATGTGTGTAAACTACATATGTGAAACAATTGATACAGGTGGCGGTGATAGCACCGAACGTGCCAGCTCTATACGAAGCTCATTTCGGAGTCCCAATGGCGGGAGCAGTGTTGAACCCAGTGAACATTCGCCTAAACGCATCAACAATAGCTTTCCTTCTGAGCCATTCTTCATCATCAGCAATCATGGCGGACCAAGAGTTCTTCCCTCTAGCAGAGGAAGCCCTGAGAATCTGGTCACAGAAGGACAAAAGCTCCTTCAAGCCCCCGCTGTTAATAGTGATCGGCGACGACGAGCACCGGGACCCAAAGGAACTGAGATCCGCAGTGGAGAAAGGGGCGATAGAATACGAGAGGTTTCTGGAGAGTGGAGACCCGGACTATGCATGGAAGGGTCCGGAAGACGAGTGGCAGAGCATAGCTCTGAACTACACGTCGGGGACGACGGCGAGTCCCAAGGGGGTGGTGCTGCATCACAGAGGGGCGTATCTGATGGCGCTCAGCGGAGCTTTGATATGGGGAATGAATGAAGGAGCAGTGTATCTGTGGACACTTCCCATGTTTCACTGTAATGGTTGGTCTTACACTTGGACTCTTGCAGCTCTTTGTGGCACCAATATTTGCCTTCGCCAGGTATTATATTATATTTTCCTTCCCTTGCTAAGCCCGAAATCTAGTCGTTTTGAGTTTTAAAAAGGAATAATTGTCCTGCATTTTACTATGGTTGTCCTTGATATGGGAGTTTTTGTAATAATAATAGTTCTAGTCAATACACTTGATTAATAATGATATTTTTAAAAAGACAACTTTTATTTCTTACAAATAACTAACTTAACTAGTTTTCTTAATCTATTCAAATTAGTCAACCAGTTATTATGTGTTAAGAATATGGGGCAGTATTAGACTATATATGACTTATATGTCAATGTTTCGTTATGGATTAATATCTATTTTGTTTAATTTGTGTGAATACCCAACAATTGGACGCATGCAGGTAACGGCAAAGGCAGTATATGCCGCGATCGCGGAGCACAAAGTGACTCATTTCTGTGCAGCTCCAATAGTGCTCAACTCCATTGTTAACGCTTCACCTGACCAAACAATCCTTCCCCTTCCTCACGTCGTTCACGTCAACACCGCCGGAGCCGCTCCTCCTCCCTCCGTCCTCCGCGCAATGTCCGAACGAGGCTTCCGAGTTACCCACACCTACGGCCTCTCTGAGACCTACGGCCCTTCCACCTTCTGCGCCTGGAAGCCCGAGTGGGACTCCCTCCCCCCTGAAGACCGGGCCAGGCTCAACGCCCGGCAAGGCGTTCGCTACGTCGGCCTGGAAGGCCTCGACGTCGTCGACCCCAAGACCATGAACCCCGTCCCTGCCGACGGCTTCACATTAGGGGAGGTCGTGATGAGAGGAAACGTGGTGATGAAAGGCTACTTGAAGAACCCTAAGGCAAACGAAGAAACTTTCGCGAACGGATGGTTTCGCTCCGGCGATCTTGCCGTGAAACACCCAGATGGGTATATAGAGATTAAGGATAGGTCCAAGGATATTATTATATCTGGAGGTGAAAACATCAGCAGTGTCGAGGTTGAGAATGTCCTGTATTCTCATCCTTCGATTCTAGAAGCTTCAGTGGTTGCGAGGCCTGACGAGAAATGGGGCGAATCTCCATGTGCGTTTGTGACCCTGAAAGAAGAATTGAACGATGATGAGCAGAAGCGTCGCCTGGTTGAAGACATCATCCAGTTTTGCAGGTCGAAGATGCCGGCTTATTGGATCCCTAAATCTGTAGTGTTTGGGCCCTTGCCCAAGACTGCTACTGGGAAGATTCAGAAACACGTGCTTAGGGCCAAGGCCCAAAACTTGGGCCCAGTCCGGATTAGCAAGTTGTAAGTTGTCAGTCCCGCTTAGATGAAGAGAAAGAAACAGAATGGGAGGTGGGGCTCACAACTAAAATTTTAAAGCTCTAAATTTGGAGTTTTTATCTAATGATTTTTGCATAAAAAAATAAATTTTTGGGAAAATTATAATTAAGAAATAATTTGTATTTTAAGTTCTGTTCACATTAAAATATTCAATTATTATATTAAATATGTTTGCTAAAAAAAATTAAATTCAGATCGTCCGGTTTTGATCTAAATGGTGCAAATTTGATGCTCATTATTGGTATTGGTATTACTGTTGAAATGGATCAATTAAAGAGATAGAGATGGGAGAAGGGGTGTTATATCTTATTCCTTTGGGGCCTCACAGAGGCGGTCCACCTGGACTGTCTTCACATCAAAATGCAGTCCAAGTTTAGACCTAGCGTCTTGGGAACAACCTCCGTTCCTTGCCCTGCTTGTTTTTAATTTTCTTTGCGCATTGTTTATTATTAACGCAGAGGCATTTCTGGGTCCTACGTACTGTTAGTTAAGTACACATATAAAGTTTCCAAAAGTTCATTCAGGATTGATGCAAAGCCTATGGCTTAATAGTTAATACTTATCTCTTATTTTCACCACACAATTTTGGACCCTCCCCTATCTGCTTGCCTTGTATTTCTTGAACTTGAACTGATGCAGATATATGGTATTTTGTGCGGCAAAGCTAGGTCGGATAGGAGCAAATATCAGATCTCGACCCAAACAAAAAAAAAAACTATTTTTAAGAGCTTTTCTTCTTAAGTTCTTAGTATTTTCTCATCCTTAATTTTTCCTCATTCAAACAATCAAACATAGGATAAGGCTTGTGTTGTGACAATTCTGATATGATATATATATATATATAGACACACACATACACACACGATCCTCACAGAGAACGTGTAATTTTAAAGACAATTAACTAACTTATATGGGAAGTGTAAATTAGTTTTCAAAAAAGCCTTATAATTTTGAAGAGAATGGAGTAATAACAGTTTTTATACTATGACATGAACAATGACGTGTACAAATTAAGAAGAATCTGCTCAGAAAGAGAATTAATCAAAGCATTAGCAGGCTAAGGCAGAGGTATTTTTACCTGTGTTGAAAGCAACCATTCAATTGGGAGGCCAGGGAGAGTTTCAACATCACTGCATAACTAATTGATATGTTTATTCAAACACGCTGTCTGCGACATTATTGACCCCTCAAACCTAACTGCTCCCAAAAATTCCATGAACTACTACTCGAGGACCCCACACTCATGAGCATTGATTAAAATAATCAAAGTTGGATGATTGCTTTGGTAAAAGCTAGCCAGCCCAAATGGATATAAATATAAACAAGTTCTAAAAATATGATAAAGGACCAAGGAATAAAGCTTCAAATGAAATTAAATCAGAGAATGTGAAAAATTAGGGTGGCTCTTGTAGTGGGCAAATTAAAGCAGAGATTCTCTTTAAGTCACTGTCGTTTAAGGATAAGAATGCAGGAACACGCATATATGTAGATGTTTCTCAAGCGGAAGAGCTTCATCAAAATCCTATCAGCTTGTTACTTATTATTCTCATCTATCTATTATGTATGGCCAAGTGTCATCTACGTCATCTAGCTATTTATACTTAATTAAAAGCTTGATTTGAAATCCTGGCTTCATCCATACCGCACGTATGTGTCTCTCTCTCATCCAAATATTGTTTTCATTTGTATTATCAAACTTCTCAAGGAATTTGGATTTGTGTGGGTCCGTCTTATTTATTGGATTTGTTCATAATTTTATCGCCTTTAACTGAGACACCTCGTCTTATTTATTCCTCTCCTAAAACCTGCTTTTTAGGAGTAAAATAATTTTTTTTATTTTACAGATTAAACTTGTATCTCTTAATATTATTTCTGATTCTAATTATAAAACTTCATTTATAATTTATAAACAAGATTTTATAATTAAAACAGATAGCATGTGAAAAAAGTTAACCAGTGTGCGTATCATTGCGACGCAAGTATGTTGAAAAGTATCCAGTGAAATATTACAATATTCCAAGCGGTTGTTGTAAGCTTGACCAGGAAAAAAAAAAAAAAAGGCGGTTGTTGTAAGCGGCGGTTGGTGACACGTCAGATTCAGTGAATCTGTTACATGCGGTTGCAGTAAAATCTGTTAAACAGTAAGGAACTACGGTTTCCCCCATACACAGCTACAGTCATCACCAACAATTTTGACCGTTGACTTTCCCTCGTAATCATCCTCGCCAATTATTGTTTAACTATGTACCAGCATATTGCTACTAATATGGATTATGCCATGTATATATATGTGTGTGTGTGTGTGTGTGTGTGTGTGTGTGTGTGTATGGAGTGAAAATTACATAAAACAAAACTTTTGCATTTATACATTACTATAAAACATAATATTAGTGATAATGCATGGTAAGAGTATCCCTATCAATGACTTTGGCATTTTATCTCCTCTCGTCGTCTTCATAAAGTTCCTATGTTAAATTTTTCTTATCCTAACTAACTTTTTTGGTATGAAAATCAGCTCATTTTCATCAATAAAATTTTCAAGGAGATACCTAATTTTCCCTATTATAAAGTACAATTTCTCTTAATAAACATGAATTAATTATACTATTTACCCTATATTTAGGCGTAGATGAAGCGCTAATACAACTTCTTACATTATTCTATCCAATTTTTCAGTTAGTTCTCCAAGTTTTTACCTTTTTTAAAGGAAACCAGTTTTTTAAGACCGCACATATATTCATGTCGATTTTATATATGGTCTTCTTTTCCAGATATTGAAATATATAAGATGCTGAGATCAAACAACTACAAAAGTGAAAAAAATTCGTTTCCTTTCTTTCCAGTGGACCAGCATCTGTCCCTTTCTATTGACACACACACACACACACACACACACTTCTCGAAGATATTAATGCAATTTGTGTGTGTGTGTGATGCCTCCACACCAATAATATAATAGTACATTTTTTAAACAAAATAGCTAGAGCAAAAATTAAAGATAATAAAACATGCGTGTAAAATACAGAAAAAAAAGAGAGGAGAATTTCATAGACTGGTATTCTTGTGTCATTATTTAAATTGGATTTCTGATTAGATAATTACTGTTACGAAAATAAATAACTTAATTTCTGTGTACATTATAAATTAAATAAATATTTTTAGTCAAAATACTAAAATACTTCGTGGTGTATATATACTACCCTATATAAGCTTGAAATTGAAGGTTGTCTCCCGATGGAAAAAGTGTTTGGTGGCATTTTCTTTTTTTATACAAACCTGTCTTCATTTAACACAACTACAAGGAAAAAGACAAGTCATCAACCTTATCGCACAATGCATATAATGCTTATAATAACTGATAATATATATTACAATGCTGCTCTGATATGTTTTGAAAAAGAAATAATTTTTTTCCCTCGCAATATTATTTTGTATATTTATCATTATTAAATGTTAGGCCCTTTCTTCTTTTTATTGATTATTTATTGCATAGCTAAAGGGTCAAAATATAAATATCATTTAAAGGGTGCAGTGAGTAGCCGATGATATCAAATCGTCCAAATTATTATTATCATGTTTATATATAATATGTCCATGCTAAGCTAAGCAACGACCTAGTTTGACAGTGTCTTGTCATAAAATGAATATAAATTTCAATATTTTTTATTTAATATAAATTATATGGATTTAATATTTTACTCAGCATTTAAGGTCGTCACAAAATACTTTAATCAATATCAAATATAAATGTATAATTATTGGCATCATTCTATATGCTATAAATAGTATCAATAATGTGGGGAATGTACAATTTTAACAAGTTACATTAGATAAAAGGTCTAAATGGTAAAAATTGAAAAACCTTTTTTTTTTAAATTAAAAATAAATAAAAATAAAAATAATCTAAATCAAATTTCAAAATTAGCGAACTCATATATATATAAATAGAATTTTGTGCCGGTTGGGCATCACTACCAACAACTTATTTTTATATTTTACAAGACAAAAATTTTCTCATATATTTATTATATATGGCATAAAATTACTTAAAATAAATTAATTTAAAAAAACACTTAAGTCCCTATGCACAAATAGAAATAATATTAAGATTCTTTAAATTATAGGAGAGAGAAACAAATGAAAAGAAAAACAAAGAAGAAATTGAAACATTTAGTAGGGACCACAAACATGTAGATGCCCACTCTAGTCTCATCTCTTTACTTGGTTTGAATCTTTTGTGTTTCTATTTCTAATATTTCAAAGGCATTTTAATCGTTTCAAACAATTTAAACTAAACCTTTTCCCTCTCCTCATACACTTTCTACTATATATAACATGCATATATTTTGGTCACTTCCCAAAGCAGACATTAGGTAAAGTGGCAAACTATTTCAGCGCAGGCGAGGGAATTTCATAAAAGCTAAAATAGCTTAATTAGGTTTGGCATCATCATTATTCACTAGCACGAAGGATTCGAGAATTGCGTTTTAATATAATCCAGTTATCAATTAATTAATTAACCACCAAGTACTTTTTTATAGAAGTATAGATTCTGAATTATTCTTTTGTAGCATATGTATATTTTTTAAAACGAGGAAGTCACGCGGACCGTTATTAAATATGTGAAATGGGGACAGATTAAATAGTGCATTATGGGCATTCATTTAATAATTCCGAGATCTGAAAAATGTTGCCTTTTTTAATACTACCTTATTCTTGCATGATTATTTTTCAAATGATTTAATCATGGTCATTTACAATTTTATATTTGATATCGCGAATAAAAAATTTCCTCGAAAATTATCACAATTTTGTTCTTCTTTTTTATCCTAAAATAAAGTGTGAAGAGATTCGTTATCAATTATGGAGGGAGTCGTGGTAACACGTGCGAATGAGGGTCAACGAGGCTTGTCCTCTTATGCTGGCAGTAGCACTGGGCCAAGGGCAATGGGCGATGGGCGTGGCTCGGATAATTTTTTTTTTTTTTAAAAAAAACTTTCATGCAAAAGAAATATGTTTTTCTTCATAATTCTTTGAAGATAAAATGTCTCAATTCAGGCAATAAGGTAGGGTGGAGGTTGTAAATAATACTCCAAACCCTCCCACATGTAGCAAAAAAGGAAGGAAAAAAATCTCGCTTTAATATATATATTATAAATGACAAAACACCGATAGAGTTTCATCTTATTTTATCTTAATTCTTAAAAAATAAAAATTTAAATTTAAAATGTTAAAATATTTGTCTTCTATGGTATTCAGATAATAATTTTTTAGATTGTCCTGTAAAATAGGAATCTTCCATGAAAATTAGTAATGAATAACTTATGAAATGGAAAATGTCCTATTTGGTTATAAGGAGAAAGAAATTGTCTTTAAAAACCAAAAAGCGAAATATATTATATTTGTTACAATACTATTTAATTACTGCCTCCGATCCTAATAATAAGATTTTGTTTATAATCTACAAATGAAGTCTTATAATTACAACTGAAGGCAGTATTATTTAACAATAGTTTCTATTTTTATTAGGTTTTACTTACAGAACAAAAGTGACTTTTTTTATTTATATATTATTTTATTTTATCTCCTTTTTTTTTAATTGTACCCTATCATTTTTGTCAAATACTCGAATACTAGCTTTTAACAATCTCAATTATTATGGCTTATCAAAGGACAATATCCTGTTGATAGATTCCAAATAATTCCTCTCTCTCTCTCTCTCTCGCCAGCATAATTCATGTATATAACAATATTTTAGTAATACCCCCTCTGTGATTGGGTGGCTCTACAGGTTGGCATAGACCTTTTTGCTTCTTTTTTTTTTTTCAATTAAACATTTTTTTACCATATGCATGCATTGCATATGCCAAAAAGCCGAGAGGGGGATATTGTCCTTTGTCTGATTAAATAAATCAACCTTTTGAAATTTGAATGCGTAATGCAGTGAGAAAAGGATAAAGATTTTCATGTTTTTTTTTTTAATATAAAATGTACTCCCTCCCAGCTTAATAAATAAAGTTCATTCGAGATTTTTAATTTAACCTCAAATATAGTTTTATTTTCTCTTATTTTTCATATTAATTAAATTTTCTCTCTTAATATCTCTACTTATTGAGATATTGTTTTTTTATCTTCCCATCTGAAATTTCAATCATATGAAACGAAGCATCAGAAATTTTATATAAACGATCAGCTTATCTATTTTTTTTATAATTGAATTATCTAACTAAAAGAAGAATCTTATACTTAAGGTCACAAGACGAGTAGTGAGTTGCAATTTGCAAGTTGCAAGTTGAGGAATGGGAAGAATAGCAGTGATAGAGACAAAAGCACACTCATTAAATTCTGCAAATGAAGTCACGGGATTTGATCTTTTCCTGCCACTTTTTTCTCAGTCTTGGTCTCCCAGTAACAATAACATCACGGGTATGCATTTTGAACATTATTAACTTTGGAAAAAAAAAGGATTAATTGGTAAGTAGGGAGGGACGAGTGATTATATCTATTTGTGAACTGTATCGAAGCAACTGTCTCTGTTGCATTATAGTACTTGGTTTTGGTGAAGAAAAATCTCAGCTTCACATACCAACTGTCCAAATTCTTGACTTTTATAATAATAATACTCTCATTCCCCTCTGTGTGCCCACCCAACAACAGCAAGACACAGGCTTTTACTAGTTTTAATTCTCTGCTTTTCCTCACCTTCTCTTTATTCCATGTTTGATTCCCCCTCCATAAATTGAATTTTATCATTTTTCCTCTTCAAATTGGAATTTGTAATAAGACGTGTGGATAATGTAGCAAGTAAAAGAGAGATACTCATATTAGCTTTCAAACTCAAAATATCTTATTTAAAAGAAATAACTGTTCTTTCTAACCAAAATAACTGTTGAGTCGCGCTAACAACCCTCTTTTAAACATTTCTTTATAATGAGTTAATTACAAACACACACACACACATATATATATCAAAGAAAGCAATATCAATAATATTACTGTGTGCGCGCGCAAGAAAACTAGGTTGGAGTGTGAAGAGATTCCCGGGTCCGTGATAGAATTTTTTTTTTTTTTTGGGGGACTCCGATCTCTTTCTGTGCACAAATCCACAGGCTAAAATGGCGTTCGTCTTTATTAATCAACTAATTAACTCCTTTCTTAAATTTTTCCGAGTCATGTTTCACTGTTATGGGCCCTTAATAATTACTTACATAACTGATTTTAGCATCACACCTATAACAATCGAGGCAGCCCCCACATTAGGCTCAACCTAATTAACTGCGTGTTACACTCACTCACTTCTCTCTCTCTCTCTCTCTCAAACACACAAACTATAATAATAACTTTTTGTCTAAAATATAATTCACTTTTAATTATTTTATCGAAACTAAGGAATAGTAGTTAACTCTGCCCTATATTATTTCTGCATCAATGTATACGACCTATAAATATGATTAAAATTAAAAATTGACAATTAATTACTTTTTAAGTAAGTTATATTATGAACACATATAATGACTTTTTCTAGAAAGCAACCCTATATTTTGGATGGGAGGGCTTTATATTTCTCCATCTCTTTATATGTATGATTCATATCCCTCTCATCAGTCTCACTCACTCTCAAAGGACGACGTGGAAACCTAATCATGAAACCAATCCTCTTTCACTAAGCCCTTCAAAAGACGCAACCCCTCCTGATCCCTCCTCACTCTCTATATATAGCTTCCTACTTCTCTTTCATTTCGCTCACTTCATCACCCACAAAAAAGCTCTTTGGCTCTGTTGTGTTATCACAACTATGAGAAAAAGAAGTTTATTGTTTTTGTTGTTGTTGTTAGTGGTTACTTTTAATGGCTTGTTCTGGGCAAGTGAAGGGAGGGTGCCCTTTGCATGTGACCCTAAGCATGGGATGACCAGGGGGTTTAAGTTCTGCAGGGTGAACGTGGCCGTTCATGCCAGGGTTCAGGATTTGATCGGACGGCTCACATTGCAGGAGAAGATAAGGTTGCTGGTGAATAATGCGATTGCCATTCCCAGGCTGGGCATTCAGGGATATGAGTGGTGGTCGGAGGCGCTTCACGGCGTCTCTAATGTGGGCCCCGGCACCAAGTTCGGTGGGGCCTTCCCGGCCGCCACTAGCTTCCCCCAAGTCATCTCTATCGCCGCTTCTTTCAACCAGTCTCTCTGGAACCAAATCGGACGGGTCAGAATCACCCTCCTCCTCTTTTTCTTTTGCTTTCAAAATTACTTGTCCTAACAAGATTCTTTCCTTACTTTCCTTTTGTCTTTTTTTAATTCCCCCATTTCTCTCTGCCCATACGTAATTAATTATTTTATTATCTCCATGTCACCATACGCTGGGTGCTCCTTTTTTTTTTGTTGAAGAAGAATAAATTATTCAAAATCTTCTCTTTTCATCCACTAGTTAGAGCCACACACACACTTTAATTTCCTAAACTTCAAGATACGGGAAAAGACAACAAAAATTAGTTCATTAATAGAGAATTTCGTCCCTAAATTTATAAAAATAATATTCCATTACATAAAACGTAAATTTACAAAAGGGGACAATTAAGAGTTTAGCTTTTCTTTTCGACTTCAATATAATATTGCTTAATTTTAATGTTTGGTCAAGTGATATTATATTTTTTTAAGATTTCTCTAAATATCTGTTTTGATGAAGGATTCATATATGTATGTATGTATCTATCTGTATGTACGTAAACTGCTGTTTGTGTTTATATATAAATTATGGGAATACGGTCCTTAAAAATATACAGAAAGGTACTAAGTTGATAATTGACGAATAATGTAAGAATATGATCATATTTTTCACAAAATTACTTTAAAATCATGCGTTCATAATTACTTTGACAACGACTAAATATAGAATATAGGTCACATATATCTTGAGGAGAGATTAACTACAATACTATACACACAGATATGCGTCCCATGTGGCTTGACAATTTGGGAAGCATATATTGGAAAAGGAATATATTAGAAATCTGAGAACCATCATCTCAGTGTGTTTACTGGAATACGACAGTGATACTCTGAGAGAGAGAGAGAGAGAGAGAGAGAGAGAGAGAGAGAGAGAGAGAGATCAGAAGAAGAAGTGGCCATAAATAAAGCTCACCAAAACAAAACTCCATCACGCACGTCGCACGCCATTCTATCACAAAACTAACAGACAAAAATAGCTTCACTTACATGACCAATCACTAGACACAATCCCAAGTCTAGCTGTCTGTCTTTAATGTTCCGTGTTTTACCCTATATCTTCGCATCTTTTTACGTTCAAAGCTTACGATAATGCTACCTCACATACCATCCTTAATTTGCTGTCTTACTTAGTTTTCTTACCAGTCATCAATTCATTTAATATCTAGTTGATAATACTCCTTCGGTCCTTAATATAGGATCCAATTGTTGAGTTGGTTTTGATCCTAAATATAAAACATATTTCTCATATTTATCAATTTTCTCTAAATTACCTCTATAGATACTCTCCCAACCATAATCAAGTAGAAGATGAAGAGGGGTATTAAGAAAGATGATTATGGTGTTTTAGGAAAAGCGTGTCACATTTCTTATAATTAACTAATTTACCTAACTTCCTGAATCTAATCAAATTAGTTAAATATGTCCTATATTAAGGACCGGAAGAGTATATCTTTTCAATTAAACATCGCTTGCCTTATTCGTATACATATGTAATATCACAGACCACACAGACCCAAAAGTTGATTCTTCTTATTATGTATAAATTAGTTGCCTTTTTATTGGGTAAATGCATAGGACGCCAACCCAATGAGAACTGAAAGTGACCCTACGATATAGCAAGTGGCCTGTGTGTGTGTGTGTGTGTGGGGATTTTTGAATGTAAAGTAAAATTCGTTCATAAGCTGCTTTTTGTCCCAACCGTGGCATGAGACCCAATAGAAAACAGCTAAGCCTATATATGTTCATGGCTTTTTCAGAGACACAAAAAGGTTGTACCGCCTTTTTAACTTATAGTGTTGGAGGTATTATCACTCAAATTATTTTAGATTCCTTGACTTTGGCTATAGTGCTCGGTATTCTTGTTGTGGAAATTTAAAAGAAAATATATTGGCGTTGTTTCTTTGTGAGTTAGTTTTGTGTGGGAAAATGACAAAGAGAAAAAGAAAAAAGGATTGAATAGTGATGTTACAGTAGTGTCACGTGTTTGGCTTTGTCGCAGGTGGTTTCTGACGAAGCAAGGGCCATGTACAATGGAGGAGTGGGAGGGTTGACATATTGGAGTCCAAATGTGAACATATTTCGGGACCCTCGGTGGGGTCGAGGACAGGAGACTCCCGGCGAAGACCCTGTTCTCGCCGGAAAATATGCGGCCAGCTATGTCCGGGGACTCCAAGGCGAGGGCGCCGGCAACCGCCTCAAGGTGGCTGCCTGCTGTAAACACTACACCGCCTACGATCTTGATAACTGGAACCGCATCGATAGATTCCACTTTAACGCCAGGGTATGTCTCTCTCTGCTGTGTGCGCGTGTATTAATAAAGCAAATACTTTTTAATTAATTATTATTAGCGATCATGAATAGATAATATGAATTATCAAAAGCTAAGAAGAAAATGACTACATATCCACTGTCCAGCTAGCTTGTGACGAAAGGTATGATTATGGAAAAGAAGAGAGCTGCTTTTGTTTGTCTGTGTGATCATTTTCGACTTGGATGAGGTGATGTCAAATTTGTAGAAATGTTGGCGCAAGTGGTCGGTGAGGAGTGGAACCCACTTGCAACCATCAGCGATTCCATTTCCATCCCCATATCTAAAATAAACTAGGACTTAATAGAAATAGACAACATGCCCTCCGGTTCCTAACGTGTTTATCATTTGTTCAAATTAATTTACCTAACTTATAATAATATAATATTACAGGAGGATTTTTTCAGAGTTATGAGATCACATTTAATACAGTTAGTTAATTTGTCTAACGATTCAAACCAGTTAAACAGCAGCTCTTATGTTAAGTGGTGGAGGGATATATATGTAATGTAGGTGAGCAAGCAAGACCTGGAAGAGACATACAACGTTCCATTCAAAGCGTGTGTGTTGGATGGGAAAGTGGCAAGCGTGATGTGCTCTTACAATCAGGTGAATGGCAAGCCCACCTGTGCAGATCCTGATCTCCTCCGCAGCACCATTCGCGGCCAATGGCGACTCAATGGCTACATTGTCTCAGATTGTGACTCAGTACAGGTTCTGCATGAGAGCCAGCACTACACCAAGACCCCCGAGGAAGCCGTCGCCAATTCCATTAAAGCCGGCCTTGATTTAGACTGTGGGCCCTACTTGGCCGTCTACACTGAAGGCGCCATCAGGAACAAGCTTCTTACTGAGAATGATGTCAATCTTGCCCTCGCTAATCTTCTCACCGTCCAGATGAGACTGGGCATGTACGACGGCGATCCGTCGGCCCACCCCTATGGCAATTTGGGCCCAAAAGATGTCTGCACCCCGGCCCATCAAGAGTTGGCCCTTGAGGCTGCTCGGCAGAGCATGGTTCTCCTCCAAAATAATAGGAACTCGCTGCCCTTATCCCCTGCCCGTCACCGCACCGTAGCTGTCATTGGACCCAATTCTGACGCCACTGTTACTATGATAGGAAACTATGCTGGTAACCTATATCTACCAAATAATTTAAAGCTTGATTATTAATTTATTATTCTTATGACATTTCTTGTTAATATCTTGAACTTTAATTTGGTAATGGTAGGCGTGGCGTGCGGTTATACGACACCCTTGCAGGGAATTACAAGATATGTTAGGACCATTCATGAAGCAGGATGCGCCGACATTGCTTGTGGTGGCAACCAGCTATTTGGAGCTGCGGAAGGTGCTGCCAGCCGGGCTGATGCAACTGTTTTAGTGATGGGCCTTGATCAATCCATAGAAGCCGAAGCTCGGGACAGAGATGGGCTCCTCTTGCCGGGCCTCCAACAAGAGCTTGTCTCTAGGGTGGCCAAGGCCTCCAAGGGCCCAGTTGTGTTGGTCCTTATGTGTGGTGGGCCCGTAGATGTCTTATTTGCTCAAAATGACCCTAAGATCAGTGCCATCTTGTGGGTGGGCTATCCAGGCCAAGCCGGGGGAACCGCCTTAGCTGATGTGCTTTTCGGCGTTAGCAATCCAGGTACCCTATAGCCACTTTCATTGGGCCCATCTATGGCCTAATATTTGACACTCACGCAAGATTTTGGTTGGGCTCTTGTTCTTGTTTTAGGTGGAAGGCTGCCCATGACATGGTATCCACATGCTTATGTCACTAAAGTACCCATGACTACCATGGACATGAGGCCCAACCCAGCAACTGGGTATCCAGGAAGGACCTACAGATTCTATAAAGGCCCAGTAGTGTTTCCATTTGGGCATGGGCTTAGCTACACGAGGTTCACCCACACCTTAGCCCAAGCTCCCACAGAGGTCTCATTGGCTAGACTTCAAGCTCAAGCCTTGACGAACTCAACCACATCAAACCGAGCAATGAAGGTGAGCCATGTGGACTGCAGCAAAGCACTGGAATTGGGCATCCACATTGATGTGAAAAACGAAGGCCCAATGGATGGGGCCCATACCTTGCTGGTATTCTCAAAGCCCCCCTCTGGAGGAAGATGGTCCGAAACGAAGCATTTAGTGGGTTTCCACAGGGTTCATGTGCCTTCAGGATCGAAGCAGAGAGTGAAGGTCGGGGTTCATGCGTGCGACCACCTTAGCGTTGTGGACGAGTCTGGGATTCGAAGAATCCCATTCGGTGAGCATGAGCTTCATATTGGTGATGTCAGGCATTCTCTTTCGGTGCAAGCCATGGAAGAGATCAAGTCTTAAGAAGAAAGACTAGCCATATGCTTGAGGTTTTAGCAGAAAGCAGCAATTATTATTAATGGTATTGCTGGGCGAAGCCCAATTTGGTGATTTCAAAAACAGAGGAAATAAAGAGAGAGAGAGAGAGAGAGAGAGAGAGAAGTTACTGTGTGATTCGAGTTATAAGATATAGAAATAGGTGAAAAATAATTGTGAATAAGATTGAAGTGAAAGTGGTGTGTGAGATTATTGAAGATGTGAAGTTGATAGAAGAGAGAACAGGTAAAGATATTTGTAAGCCAGGAATGGTGCAAGCAAGTGTAGTTAGATTTGTTGACAGATGTTGAATGGTCTCATGGAATGGAAAGCAACATTGTTCATAATCCATTCTGGTTTTTAAACGCAATGAAAAGTTGAATTCCAATTCCAATATCCAGAATTTTCTGTCAAGTAATGGACTTCAGACTCTGAAATTTAGTTTGTCTGGTCATCAACAATCCATTCGGCATTCGTCTTGTTTGCTCTCTCTCTCTCTCTCTCTCTGCTCTTTCGAAATAAAAGCCAAGACTGTTCAATAATAAAAAGTAAACGAAGAGAAAATTTAAAAAACAAGGTTCAAAAAGAACGCGGTTTAAAGTAATCTAACCAGATAGTTACAGTATTAAAATAAATAAATTTGAGCGGAACCTGAAGGCCAAACCTGATAAATTAAGGCTAATATTTAGGCAGGTCAAATCCCAGCAAATTAAAATCTTCGTAGAACCAAAATGTTTCCCTAACTTGTAAGTTAAGCATTGCAAAACAAGGCAACTAATGTGCAAATTGATGAAAACATTTTAATTAGGTTTGAGTTTTACTACTCAAAACAAGGAGAATTAAACCCAAAGTTGGTGGCTTTTTGCTCAACAACTGCTCTCGTTCTCGCTGGTTCCATTTTATCGCCCAAAAGTAGTGAGTTTGTGAATTATTCAAAGACATGCAAATTTTGTTAAGTTCATCAAGAAATTAAAACTGTTGGCCCAAGAAAAAAGGAAGAAAGATCAATAAAAACATTACAGTAGTCAATTTGGTAGGCAACGTTGGGTAGGAAATTAAAACTCGGCATTGTCACACGCCCAGATCCATATATATATGTGTGTAAATATATATATAAAATACATGTGTGTGTAACATTTCATTATCATAATCTGGGAATTGCCATAAAGATGAGACGACGCTGGATTTTAGCGTTAGCTCTTGTATGCGTCTGCGTCTGGAAAAACTTTGGTGCGTAATATTCAGAAGACATATGCATGAACGTGGTTTACTGTATAATCATATTAGTTAGTATTTGATTGTTTAATTAGATTTTGGAGATTATGAGGGTTTGAATTTGATTTAATCACAGGGATTAATGGTGATGAGGAGGAACCACCGTTAGAGACAAGTGGTGCTGATCCAGCCCAGATTGTGGCCAGAGCATTGCTCTGTTTCAACGATAAATATGTAACAAATTCCATTCCTCTTGATTTGAGCAAAGAATATATGTTTTTGATGTGGTTGATGATGTGTTAATTTGTTTCCGCATATGTATTACATGAAATGTTAGATATATAAGAGCTGTGAAGAGTCATGGAGATTGACCGAAGAGGGGAACCTGAAGGTGCCAGAAGATAAAACTGAAGAATTCTGTGAAGGGCCATGTCTGTCGGAGACATACTTGGTACTCTCATGCATCGACAACATTTTCGCCAACTTTGTCTTCTACAACAGAGCAACCATTGAGGACATTAAGGACACTGTTCAGGCTGGCTGTGGCTACGGTCCCCAACGAGGTCTCTTTTTTCTTACTTCTCTCAATTATTTTTACTTCTTTTATTTAGAGGGACAGGTCTGTCAATTGGCAGGCTAATAAATCCGACCAGTGTATATGTAATTTTCAAAAAATAATTTGCATCCTTCACCTCAGAACATGTCATATATGTGACGGATAATTTTGAATTGGTTTGATATGTGCAGGAAATTTTGATGTGGCGGAGCACATGGAGGGTGAAGAATACAATGGAGGGAAGGCTACCAGTATCAGCCATGTTCTATTGGGACTTGGCTTGATCATCATGGGACGTGGTCTCTTGCTTTAACACTAATATGATTATATTCTAACATATTGAAGCAGTACAATGATATGCTCTATTTTAAGCTTTTTTCATTTTCATTTGTACTATAATATATATATACACACACACTTCTTGTAGTATAAGTTTTTGTTTTTTGGGTCACAATAGTTCGCGTACAATTTACTTTATCATATGAGTTCCGTGTGCTTGGAACTTGTGGGATTGAAGAAAAACAGGGGTTTTCCATATGACTAAAGTAAGATAATGATCATATATGACGTTCATGCCTTTAACTTCTCTGTTTTTATGCCATTTTATTGGCTATTATATTGCCTTTCAATACAACACTGTGCTCTGTTATGATGAAAAAGAAGTAGCAGATTGGATGGATTGCAATCAGATGAAGAATCCTAATTCATTTTTATTGAACTCCATTCAGCTGGATGCTCTGTGGTTGTCAAAATAATTAAGACCAATGCGCGTATTCCCTCTCTCTGTTTTCTTTGCTTACATTAAATACTTGTATATTATATGAACCATCTTATATGATTGTGATTTACTGTACCTAAACTATTTTAAGATTGCAATATCAATACCCCTCCGATCTTTAATATAGGACCTAATTCTTGAGTTAGTTTTGATCTTAAATATAAGGCTCATTTCTTATATTTATCAATTTTCTTTAAATTGTCCCTATGGATACTCTCTCAATCATAATCAAGTAGAAGAGGGAGATGAGGTATTAAGAAAGATGATTACGGTGTTTTAGGAAAAATATATCATTTTTCTGATAATTAACTAACTTACCTAACTTCCTTAATCTAATTAAATTAGTTAAATGGGTCTTATATTAAGAATTGAAAGAGTAATATGTAAATACATTTAGCATGCGTTCGATTTATAAAATCAAATTTCAAATTAAGCATGCAGACGTAAAACTGGTTTGATCGCTTAGATCATCAATGATATGCTTTAAATATCCGATTAAAACTGCTCTCGATTCAAGTTTCAAGTTTCAAATTTCAAATTTCAAATTTCAAATTCAAGTGATGACCCCTCATGGGACTACTAAATAATGTCTCATGCACGGTTTAATGTCCTCGCAAAGGCTAAACAATGATCTTTTTCTGGATTAATACTCATCATGCATCTTCAATTTTTAAAGTTTGATATCGTTTTGGTTTTAATATGCTAATTTTTAAATTTTAGAAACCAAAACTAAAATAAAGTTAATTTTATGAACTAAAACTCTTATTTCTTGAGTTATTTAAGTAACTTTTATTTAACAAAAAAATAACTGACTTTTTTTTTTGAAAGAAAAATTACTGAGAGAACCGATTGGTACAGGCAGCATCATCTCAGTAGGAGAAATTGGTAGTACCTACTAAATGGCCACGGAAGCAAGTTGATAGGGTGCCGCTTTAATTTGGTCATTTATTATTTCTTTGAGGGAAGAGTTAGTTAGGGCTTCTTGAATGCTTCTTCTTGTTGTTATTTTAATTTTCCCCCCAAATAAATAAATTAAAGAATTATCTAATTTAATTCTATTCTACCAAATATACACTCACAGTCATCAGCCATAACTCTCACCTTATACACACTTGCCTTCCCCTTTTAGAATGCATCCATGTGATCCTATTTAATATTTCCTTCAATGTTGAAATGTCATTGATGCTTAAAATTTCATCCTCAAATTTCACACCATATTTATAATTTTTTTCCCCAGATTATCTTCTTAAATTCTAAGTTATTTTACTCTTTCGTTGAGGTAATATGAAATTAAAAATCCGATTTAAATGAGCTTCTTAAATATCCGCTATCAATTTCAATTCAAATAAAAATATTTCAATTCAAATAAAAATATTTAAAGTCTAGTAATAAGAACAACGAGTGAGGAACCCAGAGAGCAACCAAAAAAAAAAAAACCAACAGTCAGGCTGCCAGCTACTTAACCTGAGGACGTGAGAATTTTTTCATCTCTAGTTTATCATGTAAACTCATCGATTATCATTAACATTTTGAGCTTTTTCTTAATTTGAAATCTACTTGTTTTAATTTGATAGGAAAATTGTACATTATTAAGTACATAATTTTTTTAAAAAAATCAGATATACCGTATACGTATTTTCAGGTTTGTTAGTGTATAGATAACTAAGATTCTTGATTGAGATGGAAAACGAGACATCTCAGGACCAAAATATTTTAAAGGCGGGCAATGTCCATTTCATTTCCCAAATTGGAAGCCCAACACGTCACTGTTCATCTTTTCTCTATCATGTGCTCATTTTTGTGTACCAAAAAAATATGTACTCATTTTTGTGGAAAATCATTAATCATTAATTACAAATGTTAATGATTGAGATTGTTATCCTGGTTATTCTGGTAAAAAAGAATGTGATCCTGATTATTAATCAAACTCTATATATATGTGTGTCTATATATATATATATATATATATATATAATAGGTATGTTTACCCGATATTCTTATTGTTTTAATCTAAAAATTACATTCAATTTCTCATTGACTTATTTCTATCGAGAAAATTAAGTTCTTCTGCAATATAATTTTTTCCATCAATTATTTTTATTGTCATATTAATAATTAAATATAGTTTTATACTAAAGCTTAACATCAACTTAGATCAATAATGTCTTTGTTGTGGATATACATTATATAAAATTAATGCTGTCTCTTAGATGTTAACAACGCATAAAATTAACTTATTTGATGGCAAATAAATTGTAAAGAACTTTTTACAATATACAATCAGACTTGAAGAAAATCCAGTGTAATTTTCAGAATGAGAGGAATTATACATATATATTTAACTAAAACTTAGGAATATTATAATACTTTGGAAAAATAACATAAAAAGAAGTTAAAAATTATAATATTTTAATTTGGGCATTTAAGAGGTGAAAATTTAAGAAAAAAAGTGATGCTTAATCTAGTATTTTATAAATATGGTCAAATGACTAAAATACTCTTGTATCAGTTTTTTTTTAAAAAAAACCAAACTATCAAATTTATCATTAACAATACATTTCTTGTCATTAGTTGTTCAACACTTATTATTATCAGTTCACAACTAATTAATAAATAAGTAATTGTTATTGTCAGTATATTTCTTGTCATTTACTGTCTAACACTTGTCATTACAAGTTTATAAATTGTTAACAAACTTTTTGATATAAGGATATTTTTATCATTTAACTATATGCATAAAATACTGGATTAGGCATAACTTTTTTTTTTGTGAGAAGATGAGAGCAAAAACTAAAGTACTCCTCCGGTCCTAAATATAAGATTCTCATAGTGTATAAAGGTCTTATATTTAAAACCGAAGGAATACTAAACTAGGATTATATGCCCTTCACCTTTTTGCAGGGTATTGTCAATAGAGAACTCTCTTTTCTACGGAGTGTACTGTCATGATATAACTGAGAAAAACTAATATAGATATTGTCCAAAAGGGTTAAAACACACTGAAAATGAGAAATGAAGTGACGAGCCTAGAGAAGAGACATGAAATAAAGAAGCACACGAAAAGAAAGGAGAGGAAGAAATCGCGATGTCCACAAGATTTTTGAACCAGCACACGGAGTCCTTTTTCCCTCTCTTATTTATTACTTTGTTTCTTTTCATTCGTTATTGTTCTTGGCCAGGAATATCCCGCCTTTCCCTATCCATTCCCACCTATACATAACAATATTACCCAACTTTTTCCTCTTCGATCTCATGGACAAGTTTCCAACAAGATAATATTCCAATCTTAGATTGGAGTGCAACGTTTCACACTTCTTGCTCATCGCCGTATAATACTGTTAAAACTGAAGCTGATCTCAACTTAGACGATTTCATTTATATCTGATTATTAAATTGCATCTTTGTTTAATTCTCTATATTAACTACCTTATATTACTGAAACAAGGTTAATAAGTAACATACTACTTCCGGTTCTAATTATAAGAGCCAGTTTACTAATTTAAGGAGATTAAGGAAGTAAGTTGAGTTAGTTATTTGTCCTAAATAGATGTTGTCTTTCCTAAAATATCCTTGCTAATCAAGTGTATTGACTAGAACTCTTACTATTAGAAGGGCTATTTTGAAAAAAAATGTATAAATATAAGAGATAAAATAGATTGGGGTCTTATATCTAGGACCAAAATAAAAATTAAACAAAATCTTATATTAAGGACCGGAGGTAGTATATATGGAAGAAAAAGGCAGATACATGAATATACACACGAGACTAAACAGAGACTGAACTGTAGTGAACTGAGTAAAGGTAGGTTAGATGTATGCTGGGATAACAAAGTCTTATTTATTAGTCTGAACGTAAAGTGGGGGCCAGAGATAGAAAAGCTAACCTTTACTTTACGAAACATTGGTTTTATAAGTTGATTTTGTGGTAGAAAAATGCGAGTGGACCAAGCTAATAATTACATAAAGCTGGACGCAGGTTAAAAGAACCGTACTTGAACCAGCAAAATTCGAGCTTCTTTATTCCGTATTTGACTATTCAACTCCACTAGTATATATACCCGCAGCTGAAGACGTAAGAAATGCAGAATCCTCCATTGATGAATAGTGTCACTACCACATACTAAGCATCAGACTCTGGGAGCTAGCTAGTGAATACTGAATACTACTACTTGCGACGCGCACACACATATATATATTTATATATATTACAGAAGAAATAGCAGAAGCAAGAATGGTGAGAGCACCTTGCTGCGAGAAGGTGGGATTGAAGAAAGGAAGATGGACGGCTGAAGAGGATCAGATATTGACACAGTACATCCAACAACATGGTGAAGGATCCTGGAGGAACTTGCCCAAGAATGCCGGTATTTTTATCAGTACATGTGTTTGTGTTTGTGATAATTAAGGTTATGTTTTCTTAATTCATTGAAATACTGAGGAATATGGGATTGTGTGTGTGTGTGTGTGTGTGTAGGATTGCTGAGGTGTGGGAAGAGTTGCAGACTGAGATGGATAAACTACTTGAGGGCAGACGTGAAGAGAGGAAACATCACTCCTGAGGAAGAAGAAATCATCGTCAAGCTGCATGCTGCTCTCGGAAACAGGTCCAATTACATTCATTTCATTTCTCTCTTGTTTTTAATTCAGGGCTATTCAAAGTGCTATAATTTTTCATCGCCCAAATATGAGCGCCGATGAAACAACTGCAACACCATTAATTAGTACGTAAATCATAAATGGACATATTTTTCCATAGACAAAACCTTGTAGGGGCACATACTCTTTGGGTACCACAAACTTTATTTCTCACCAACCGTGAACAAGATATTTTCTCTTTTTTAACGCTGCAAAAATATAACGTCCCATGACTGGATATATATATATATATTGATGTTTTTGAAAAAAAAATATTTTTAGTAACAAAAGAAAAGTATTTTCCTACGAAGAAACTTGACGTAACCTTATTAAAAGAGTAATAAGCATGCAAGAACGCATCAACTGAGTTGTAGCTTTTAGGAGATAGATGTCTCAAAAATCGTTAAAAACGCTAGTTTCTGCTCCCGAGGAAGTTGCTGTCAAACTAGAGTATAATGCTGCGGGATAAAGGACAACGAAATATAGAGAGATTGATTTAAATTCTGCCCGAAATTTCAATTTTCTAAATAGAGACAGCTCTGTCAACAATCCCCTCCATGAGGGGAAGCTAGAGAGTTAATTGTGAGAGTTCGATTTGATAGTCAATCTGGTTTTTTCTTGTAAAGATAGCAATGTAGAGATTAGAAAACTCAGTAGGGTGGGTTCATCTAAGCGTTGAGGTTTTCCAGGAGGTAGATGATGAAAGAAGATAGTTTTTCGATACTTTTTGCTACGTTTTTCTTTGAATTAATATAGTTACACATTTCCATTACAAAAAATCATTAAAAAGTAAACACGTTAGGTACGGTTGGTGCTGGTCTTTTTCACCCAAAAAAAAACATTATTTTTTAATTCAGTTCACGATATACGAAAACTTATAAATTCCTGTCATGCATGTAACTTTTCAAAGTAATTATATTTTCTATGCTATATAAATCAACTTGAATTGTTATGTTGCTCTTTCTCTCATTATTATTTCTTTTACGTGCCTATATTTTTCTTCGTACGAGAGCAGATAATTCCCACGACAAGTTCAAAGGAATATTACAGTACTAGCAAATGGTAATCATAGTAATATAATCACCCCACACCACACACATCGCGGTTTTTTAAAGTGGGACTTGGCATTTCAATGTCACGCATAATCATAGGAGGCTATTTATTACCTTATCATTTATGTCACCTACCGATAAATAATCATAAATTCCCAGAGAAAAAATTAAAAGGCGTTCTCAGGGGCAAATAAGTCATTTAGTCTTGTGCTTCCCAATTTTTGCGATTGAAACACTCGATTCAAATGTGAATATATAATATTTATTTACACCACAAATTTAAACCGCTAGAAATCTACTGACTTTTCTTCTTTTTTCTTGTGGTTTGGATTTGAATAGGTGGTCTGTGATAGCAGGACATTTACCAGGACGAACAGATAATGAGATAAAGAATTATTGGAACTCTCATTTAAGGAGAAAAATCTACTGCTTTATCAAAACCCTGAACCAATCCCTGCCCTCCACCCACTTGCCGTCTATAAACGATATTGCTGCTTCCTCCAAACGAAGAGGAGGACGGGTCAGGCCCACTCAACCCACCATCAAGCCCAACAACCCGACTCCTTCGGCCCAAAATTCCCACTCACACAGTAGCGCATGCAAGGTATTTGAAAAAATGTCCAAACCAATCCCAAGCCCACAAACCTGTGCCAATAATGCAAGACCTGAAGATGTTGCTATAACGGCTTCTTTATGCATAAGTGATGATAATCTCGAGACCATGGGACCATATCAGTGGCTAGACGATGAGATAAAGAAGCTCAGTTTTATGTTAGAAAATGGGGTGTTTATGAACCCAAGGGAGAATTATGCGGAACCAGAAAATGAATTAGTGCTAAGCAGAAATAATGACATGGTGGGTGGAGATTTGTATGAACTCGTGGGAAAGCAAATAATGGGAGCAAGTGATGAGGATGTTATGAGCAGAAACAGTAACGCTAATTCGTCAGAGATTTCTGTCTATGATTATCAGTGGCTTGATTGGGATTACAATCAACGAGATTTTTGTGAAGAGAACCTGAATGCGAATTGTTTGTGGGGTGATGGCACTGGTGGAGAATTTGGGGGGCGTTTGTGTTCATATAATTAAAACCAGTAATTTTCCTTTTGGTTGTGTGCTTGGGTGTTGGAGATTTCATCGTTTGGTTTATAATAAGAAAAATTTGGTATTTGTTTGGTGAGGTCAAAATTTGTCAGATGTTCTCAAGATATTGTTCAACTTCTTCATTTTAGTAAAGACAATAAAGTTCCGAATTGATTAGATATTAACGCTGTTTAGGGGAAGAAATAAGCAGCGGCAAGTTGTAATTTTTCCTATGCTGCTGATTTGTATTGCAATTCAAAATCTCATAAATTCATTATAATATTTGTATTTTTACTGCTCTTATTCTTTTCTTTTTTTTGGTAGAAAACGAGAGGCCAGGAGCCCTAATTCATTAATAAATTAAAAAGTGGGGGAACTAATTCCCATACAAATATACAATCATTGTTCACTAAGGACAAGAGATGGTTTGGACACCTGTCTAACAAGGAGAAAAGAGTTAATCCCTCTTTGGCTAAAGTATCAGCTACACTATTATAGTCTCTCTAGATATGTAATTCATTTGCGGTTCCCAGTTGAGTTGCATCATTGGTTTGATCCTGACAAAAAGCAAGCTGCAAACATTGTCGAGACATTCAGTAGTTAACATATCAATCAATTCCTTTGCATCTGATTCAACAATAATTCTTCTGAATCCTAGATCCCAGGCCAACTAAAGACCTTTGCATATGGCCCATTCTTCTGCTTCTAAAGCACTGCAAGCTCTTATAGTATGAGTAAATCCAGCTATCCAGTCTCCATTGTGATTTCTCAAAACTCCTCCACAACCCGCTTTGGAGTTGGAAGTTATGACAGCACCATCAACATTAATTTTAATCCAATTTACTGTTGGTGGAGTCCAACGCAAAGATAGGGTAGTTTGGGGTGGAAGATTTATGTTATCAGTGTTTAGAGTAAAGTTATTCCAGCAGTGTAAAATAGCACTAACAGAATCAGCAGGTTTAATGAATTCAGCATCAAAGATAGTCTGATTCCTCCAATACCAAAGTTTCCAAATAGTGACTTCCCAGATCTAATTCTAGTTTATGAGAAGATGCTTGCAAAGATCCTTTTGTCTTTTGAGATTAAAATCCATCCAATCAGTCAAGGTAGAGGCAAAAAATTGAGAATGGTACCAAGGACGTAGAATTGCAACCACAGCTGCTTGTTTAGTAACAATATCTCAGAATGTGCAGGGTATCTTCCACTCCCATGTGTATTGCAATGTGTACATGTAGGAGGGGTCTGCGACCACTTACTTCTTCAAGCATTAGTTGGTAATATGTTGTTAAAAGTGATCCAGACTCTAATTCTTTCAGCACCTTTCCATTGCCAAATAGATTTATATATAGAACTGTGCAAGTGCGTTGGATTAGATTCAATCAAATAGTATGCAGCCTTCAATGTGAGAATACCATTGCATGTTGCATTCCATGCCATGACATCATTCCCTGCAGCATCCATTGGTGGTAATTGAGAAACGGGACGCTGAATAACCTCCCTAGAAACTACATTTGTCAACCTTTAGAAGTACCAACTAACGTTAAAGACCCAATCTTTTAGAGTGCCCCCTTCTTCTTCCAAGGAAAGAGGTCTTAATTAGACATAGGTCTTTGATCTTTTTATCTTTGTATAACCAGTAATCATTAAAGAAATTCACACAGGAGCCATTTCTTATTTGCCACTTAGCACCCTTTTATGATGTCACTTTGCTGACAAATGAAGTGCCAAAGTTTTGAATTACCTTTTTGGGCTGTCACAAGATGTTCCTCATTTCTTGGCATATAACACTGATGCAAAACTGTTGGAGTTTTAGTGTTTGAGTGTATCAAAAGAAGTCTCATTACTTAAGATTGAGAAAACTTTAGTGTTTACTAAGATATAAGCTTAAGCTAATAAAATGGCTAAGAAGAGGAGTCTTTAGAATTGACTATTAGAGATGACCATTTAAGCATCTATGTGCCTTACTTAGTCAGTTTTATTCTTTCATAAACCATATTCAATGGCCTTAAAATGATTTCATTCATCTTAATTAATTGTTTAAAAACCACTCTTTTAATTGTCATCACAATCATATTTAATCTCCATTATGGTAGTCTAATGGTCACATATTATCTTAGAATAAAAGGCAATGTGTGGTGTATGGTTAGAGTGTGTTGAGTTCTATCCCCAAGCTCTCCTCCTCACTCTCTTCTTCTGAGTTTTAAATTTCTGCTATTCTGTCACCTTGCTCTGCGCAGGAAGGGTTCATTTAATCATGAAGAGTGCCGCCTTTTATTCTAACTTGTGTGATGGAATAACTCTTAAAGACAGCGTCCTTAGACATGACTCGAACCATATTTTTATTATTCTTGCAGGTGTTGCCAACAATCTTAAGAGTTATGTCATATTGAAGGCACCACACAATCTCAGAGTTAGGGCCTGTTTGGGTAACTGCCTAAACTATAGTTTGGGCAAAAAAAATTGCCAAATACTGAGGAAAAAACAAAAACTATGGTTTTAGGTTCAAAATCATAGTTTCACAAGAAGTGAATCCATTCTACTTATGGTTCAAATTGGAGAGTATAATTGTGTCTGTTAAAGTAGATCTCAACAATAATATGACTTTAACACCCCTCAATTATTTTTTTACAAACATATTTAATCTTATATTTTATAATATATATACATATATTAATTATTTATTAATTACATTATCTTATATATCATTAATTATGTTGGTAAAAAGTATATTATTAACAATTTTATTCATTCAAATTAAAATATATTATAAAATCTATCTTTTATGTAATTAACATATTAACTTATGCCTTTTTTAGTAATTTGTACATATAAAAAGTGCTTCTGATAACAACTATATAAATACTCTCACTTTATCATAATCACTTTTTCATAAAATTTATTCTCCCAAGAATCTATTGTCCAAACCATGATTTGATTTCATCCAAATACCCTCTTAGTTGTTTTAACACTCATTATTAATGAAGTGATCATATAGGGAAGCCTCTAAGCTTTGTCCTAATTTACTTTGATAGTTTTATTCAAATAAGCATTTTCCTCTTATTTGATGGGAAGTTTGAGTTATTCTCATGTTTGTTGTTTGTGTCTCATTTTAGGACATTATTTGATACCTCATAATAAAAAAATTAGCCAAGTAGGTTGCTCGTCTCTCTAGCAGGATGGAGATGAGAAGGGGTGAACCTCTGGTGCTTGTAGAGGCCAGAGATGACTTAAGGATTGAACTGGTAGTGGATGTGAACCTGATAAAAGTATGTGTCAAGCCAGTGAATCCAATGGTATTTATGGATGAAATTGAGTTATTGGGCACATGCTATATATCTAGATGGGTTATGGTGGTCAGGAACACCAAGTCTCAAATTTGTCTCTTTGACTACATTGACTTAAAACCTCATAAACACTGTATTACGATTAGAGTCTCAACATGAATACCATAATATTAGTAGAAGTGCTTTGGAGAGAGATTCGTGATAAAAATGATTTCTCATACCTTCCATCATGAGGTTCCATTAAGAGAATTCAATCTTTTGAAGCCATATCATCCATACGTTTTGGGAAGAGTGATTTGCTCCCAACTTATTGGGTGATAGCTGTGAGTATTGGTGCTATTACACCAAATGAAGTTCCGTTGCAGCCTTTCAACTTCTGTGAAGTCCAATAGTGTCTAAAATATATAGCTCTCCAAGACAATGAAGTCTAATAGTGTCTAAATGAAATCATGCCAACCCTCCCAATGCACTCCGATATATGGCCCAAGCCATATTCAGTGAAGGCCCATATCAATCAGATTGTAAAGAGGCCTAAGATCTTCCTTTCTTGTTACCCCGTACCCTTTCTATATAATGTGATTTTTATATAAGAATAATGTGATTTTAAGATTAAAATTATGCATAAGTTGAAAAATATAATCCGGGAGAAAGTAAATTGATAAGTGAATTGAAACTGCTTTGAACATCCAACGAAACCTATACAGCCTCACTCTAGACATATGTAAAGCCTGTTAGTCGGACCGAAACTCAATAGTGCAAAATCTCAAAGGAAATTAAAAATTGAAAAAAAAAAAAAGGAGCATTATGCTAATGCATTACAAGCAAATTTCCCAACTACAAACATGGGTTAGCCTCTTAGGTATTTAGACATAATAAGTGAATTCCTTTCATATAGTGGATAAATATTTGTTTAAGGCATTCACAAAATTTATTATCTACCTTTTAAGGTGCAATTCATGTGCGTGTGGATATATGAAGTTCAGGTCCCATTTTGCAAATCCAATATTAGTCCTATCTAAGAGAGGTTAAATCTCAATCCAAATGACCTCTTTCTCTCCACCAACTCGCCTAAGCTGCATCTTGTTATCATCTTCTATCGCCGAAGTATCAAGGTTCTAATGCCATTGTTATGTAAAAGAGATTAGAAGACACCAAGTTGCCTAGTCTTCATTTTTTGCACAAGGGCTTACTTGCACATCTATGCGGATTAACATATCATCATGTGGTATAATAATAACACTACTAATAACATGTCCTTAAAGGTCGACTTAGTTCATTATTCCTATGAGATAATCACCAAGTCAAGACAAATCATGCAATTCAAATCAAATCATATTATATTATAGCAGAAAATATGTTATAAAATAAATTACATTTCGATTATTTTAACCGAAAGGCTTAGCCAAAACCCAACACCAGTTGCAAGCCTGCACGATGAGAAATTTCAAACCATACTAAACGTGGAACTAGTTTCAGTGGTCATTACTTTGATGAGCACTATAAACTTATAAGATTTGAATGGTCCGAATCTATTTTTTTATTTGTTCAAAATAATTATTTTAATATTTATAGACTCTAAAATAAATATAATCTCTTAATTATCATTATTTCAAAAACTAGTTTTTTCTATTTAAAAATAATTAATTAAAGATTTTAAATCTAGACCGTTCAAATCAGATGTAGACGATCCAGATCTGATGAGTTTAAGGCACTCATCAAGAT